GTGTTCAGGATAAAGGCCCTACCATGAAAGATGGCCATACAGACACATTGTGGCTACGTGACGTTCCGCGCCTGGCACATAATATGCATAACGGCGTTCTTCGCAATTAGAGTACCCACCTGTATGTACCGTGCGTGATCGCATGTGGGTATTTTAAATTTTCATCATAGCAGATGACTCGTTTGAGAGCAAGTTGAATGCAAACATAGTTCTGGCAGTTTAGGGAGATGTTAAGACGCTGCATTTAGGCTGTCGAAAAAGTTTGAATGCAACCAAACCAACCAAACAAAATAATACAGACACAATTCGATCGTTTCGATTGACTCAGTCGGTCAGTCAGTAGGCGTTCAAGCCTCTTAGTTACATTATATATATATATATATATATATATATATATATATATATATATATATATATAATGTTACATGTATATACATTTACACATTACAGTTACACATAAAGATAAATTTGTTTTTTTGTATTTCATATTAAGCTGCTGATTCATTGAGGGCTGGTAAATGTGAAAAGGCAAGCTGCATGAGTTTTAAATGCACAAGACCCAGATAATTGCATTTGACGCAGAATTTTTGGCCAATGCGCATTGCCACAGCAGTTAAAATTCGTCTGTACAGTGCAAGAGGGACATAAGATAGGAAGTATCCAATTCAGTCCTGTCAGACATGATTGCCCATCATTGGCACAACGAACACTAATTGGCGCTTATTGTCAAGCTGATAGAGCGCTCTTTTTCTCCCCTATAATTCATCTCACTTTCGTCAAGCAATCGCCCCTCGAAAGTTATGTTAGGGACGCAGCGTATTAATGCTTCAGCCAAAAACCACTGGGCGGAAGCGTTGGTCTTGGACGCACCCTTCACGAGGAGTGACATCACGCCTTTGTTTCGCTTCTGGAGCGTTTTCCCCCTCTGCCAACTGAAAGGGCCCAAGTCCTTGGCCACTAATATTGCACGCTGACGCTGTTGTCCGCTCTCCTTTATGCTGTGAGAATTGTTCATCAGGCGACGTCGACAACAATGAGACGGCATCACGCCACGCCTTACGGCGACGTTAGTTCTGGCACAGCCATAGAAGCCACGCGTCGTTTCAAAAGAAAACCTTCCTAACGATTCGGCGGTGTGGGAATTTGACGGCAGGGTTGTTACAGTTAGCTTGCTCACAGAATCAGACTGTCACTATGAGAGGAGTGGCGTTCGTGTGTTTCTCTGTAAGTCGGCAATACTGTCGCATAGTGTGTGTCGGTCGTATTCCGGCCGTCTGCTTAAGCCTTTTCGTAGGGCTGCGGTGTGCGTCAGCGGGATGTACTGAGCGCTTTTTCCCAGCTACGTTTCAAGCTGTTGGAGCTCCTAATTTAAAACACATTCTGAAACCTGGACTGCTTCCGAAAATTATTAACAGAGTGTCAAAATTGTAGCTTTCTTCGTGCTCCCAAAGCGACTCCAGGAGCCGTTTTGGAAGGCATGCCGGGATTAATCACGGGCTGTTTAAGGTGAATGAGCTGTCCACGGCTCGTTCACTACAGCTGGACGACGTTTAAGGAAAGTGAGCGTTGCATTGAAGCTGATCACATTTCCGTAATGTGCAAAGCATGTTGGCTGCCGGGGTGATTCAGGGTAATATAAGAAGCTCTTCGGTGCTTACCTGTCGACATTGGCCAGACAAAACGGCTCAGGATAACAATGAAGCATTACTAGCAGAGGTCACTGAAAGCCACCAGCAATGAGAAGCGTGTAGGTAACACATTACACATACAAGTGGCATTATCTGCCATGCAGAGCCGACAACGAACAATGCCATTTATGGAAAGTTCAACGGGGTTCATTTTGAGAACATCCGTCGAGCAATAACATTATGGTGTTCTTGCTAACCGTTCGCACAACGTGCATCAAATGATTGCATTTCAGCGGCGTACAAAGCACGACATTCATATTGACAGATATAAAGGTCGTACTATGCGACAGATATGGACCTTTAACGACAACGACAATATCAAAAATGATGAAAGGAAGTCAACATTTCCGGTCAGATTTTACTGCCCATATGGTGTCTACCACGATGATCTGTTCATCATTACACCATTAGTTATGGTAAATGCTGTACGTACGCCAGCACGACATGCTTAGGCAGGGTGCCTTAACCCTCGCCCTGATAGGGAGGGGAAGGTCAACATGACCCGCCCCTAAGATTTTCGTGGATATATCTCCAAAATCCGTGCTATTACGCCTTGTAGTCGCACGGTAGCATAATAAAACATTTGGTACCTGTAACCTGTGGGGCATCATTTGCGCGTGTTTGACACCGGCAGGTGTTTTTAGTATTTCTGGTTTCCAAGAAGCAATGATTTATTAGGGCACTGCACGGCGATCCACGGCCGGCGCGGGAGACGACCGGCAACCAACGAATTCGCCGATCGCGCGCTGCGGGCCGGCACTGATACATCAACGAAGCTGTTCATCATAACAGGCTCAAAACACACAAAACTACCAGTCGCCTTGCTCATAATCAAATAAAGAACATGCCTGTGTAAGTTACTTGCTACTGCATGCCATGGAGTGGCAACTGTTGGTATGTTATGTTACGTATGTTGGTATGTTACTCTGTTAAAGTTCTAGTTTCTGTACAAAAATGGCCTTTAAGCTGGCCCATTGGGGAACATTATCGACCAAGCGGCATAAAACCTGTCATCCATCGGGGATCTCTGAACAAACATCATAACACAGCATATTTTACCCTACATCTCTTCTGAATGCGTCATTGACAACATATTTGAAACTGCATGTCAAAAGCAGTGCATGCTGCGGCGATCAGCTTCAGCCCCCAACCCCAACGACAAAGTTAGCCGGCTGCATCCAGGTGCACCTTACCACATCCACTTAAACGAAGCACGCTAACGTTTTGTGCTTTTCATCGATTGTTAGATCGGATGCGTACGATCTGATCAGAAGCATCAGCCTTCTCGAAATCCTGAATAGCTTATAATTTCGATGTGACGTAGCCTCTCTCGCGGGAGAAATATCGCTGGACTTCTGCTCGTCACAAATAGCTTATAATTTCGATGTGACGTAGCCTCTCTCGCGGGAGAAATATCGCTGGACTTCTGCTCGTCACAATGAAAGTGATGCATCTCATTTGCATTACTTTTCCAATGCGTGTATATTAATGTTTGTAGCACGCTCATTTGTACAAAAACGGTTGTGTAATAAATGCTACGGCAGTTTGAAACACTTTCTTAAGGCAAAAAGGTGTGCGAACATGCGTCTTTTATCCTGTGAATTCAACGAAACGATATGCGGCGGACCTTATTACAATCCTACAGCATCCACCACAGTGCCTGTTTTCGAGGCGCACTTTGGCTTTGGGAATGAGAGCATCACATGGTTCATAGTGACGCACGGGTTCAAACTTCAACTAATGAGCTTGTAATGGTAACAGGTCTTAGTCGGTCATTGGGCCAATCAAAAAGTTATTTTAGTCCGACCAGCAGGGATGCCATGGTGATGTCATGACGACGGCGATCGCGACAACTGCAGGGAAGAAGCGTAATGCTGTTACAAAGCGTTGACAGCGTAATTTGCTTACTATGTCATGGCAGTACAGCAGTGCCACGACCCGGTGATATCAAATACAATTGGTCCTGAGGTTTCACTGCAGGGTGTTTTTGGAATACACCACAATGTGGACCGCTTCCCTTACCACGCGCTCGGGTGGGGGGTCAAATTAACCACCCCCCGAAGGTTTTCCAAAATGGTTTCCGAGCGGCGCAGCGTAGCCGTGCCAAATTCTGTGTACCTGTATATAACTGAATAGCGGATCTTTTGGCGTCCAAAACTTGGATGTTCCTTGGAAGGGCGCTGACCTATGGCAGGTCAGATTCAGGCCATGGTTTCAGCGAAGGCAATTTCTGGGGAATCCTTCAATCTGATCCAACAACGGAGTGTCAGACGAAGCCATACATCTCTGAGATGCTTTCTTAGGCAACACAACAGTTGAATGAGCGAATTAAATTGACCTTAAGTCAGGTATGAGGGTCAGACCAAGGTCAGAACCAACCTGTTTTGTTACTCTAGGGCTTGCTGTATGGGATAGCTGCTGGTGCTCATTTCCAATTTATTGATGGCAGAACCGCATTACACATCTTCCATGGACATCTCAGAGGTCAGAATATGTCATTGACCTGAAATGACCCTGGTCAACGTTTTTTTGGGAACAAACTGTCTAGCGCAATCTTGATCGCTTATTCAAATGCAAACTCAGAGCAATCTTTCATGATTGTGGTCACCGTGACCTTCCAAAGGTCAAACAAGTTCACTGACAATAAATGAGCATGGGAGCTTTTGCTTAGAAACGGTTATCTAGGTTCTGGGGGCACTTTAGAGACCAACCTGGAGTTTAACCTTTTCTAACCATATTTGACCCAAAGGTCATGCTCTAGAAACCTGAAACTTTGACCTAAGTGAGTTCACGTACAGGTCAACACACTACATATTTGGTGTCTTTAGCTTTCTTAGTTTTTTAGATCTCAGAGGGGTCAAATTGACCCTCTCCCACCCGAGCGAAGGGTATCCAGCCGGCCACCCGGGTGCTTGTTAACTCACGCGGAATATATTGCATGAATACGGGGTTAAGAATCGGCCAATTTTGTTGCCCTTAACAAGCCGAACGGATGGCATGGCCAAAACGGCTTTTCGTGTGGAGATGTGCCTTGCAATTATCAGATGAAGGCGTCACATGTGGGGTGGGGCATACCACCCCACGGCTACGAAATGTGCCCGGTGCTATCTCCAGCTAGAGAAAGTTTTTGGTACAGCATGTTGCCTAATTTGTAAAATATATTAGCTGTCACAACCAAGATGTATATGGACTACAAAAACATATACACGGCCCAGATTTATTTATCGAGCAAATCTAGGTAGGACAATAAGTGCCGCGCAGTAAACATATCGACAAGAGATCGACGTAATCACCGCCTCACAGCTTACTCACCGACCACGGTCAGATGTAGGTAGTGCGACACCGGTGGCGAGGTGCTGACCTGGCAGAAATACCAGCCAGCGTCGGCCCGCCTCACGGAGAGGATCCGCAGGCCCCAGTCCTCGCTGTACTCTTGGTGGAGCGGCTGGAACCGGCGGTCGTCGGCGAAACGCGTCAGACCGCCGGTCAGCACCTCGAATCCGCGGCCCCAGGACACCTGCGGGAGACAGAGCACATAATCGCGTAAGAACGTGCGTCGATTGAACCAGCACGCAGCATGACACCTCACCTAGCGCAGAGATCTTGCGTCGCCGACTTTAACGACCCTACGATAACGCTTCACACATGTGAAACGTTATTGTAGGGCCTTGAGTAAGGCAACGTTTTGGCCGAGCATAACGCCATCTGAGATCGCGCACCTCCCAATAAGTTGTCACTTTTAGCTTCATGTGGCATCCGCCAGATATCAGATTCGAGCACATTCAAAACGCTGTTCTACCAATACCGAGTTGTACGTTAACACTGCGAGCGACAGCTGGCCGATGTGGGTCATAGTTCAAAGATGGACTGATTTCCGGAGCGTTCAAAAGCACGTCACTCCGTAATATTTTCTGCCAATGCATCTATATAAGGTCCGGTTGTTCCGGTTGTTTTTGTGTGCTAACTAACATGCTCCCTTAATCCTATCAAGGGAGGGGTCCATGTCAGTCACCCCTATTCCGCACGAGCGACAGACTTTCGCCCTCCAACTTTAAGATCTCGAGAACTACCGGGCTGATTTTTCGCAAGTCACTCTGCCGCCTCTCACACGACATCGCTTGTGGCGAGAGACCTGGAACAAGATGTCACAGCGCCTACTTACAAAATGTGGAGCAGGCGACTCCTCTCAGCGGCAGAGGTTGAGGTCGGGAGAAGTTCTGTTTGCGGCTGATAAAACAATGCTCAGAATCGTAAGATTTTCTGGAGAATCTACTTCTCCGACGGGGCCCACTTCAACCTAGACGGTCTGATCAACAGCCAAGACAACCGTTTCTGGGCAGCCGAACCCCGACCTGGTACAGGAGTGACGCTGCATAGTACATAGGGCATAGCTTGGTGAGCCATCAGCTGCTGCGAAATCATCAGACCACTGGGGTTTGAGGACACGGACTAGGATTCATTAACATCAACTCAGGGAAGTTATGGAACGCCTGCCAAGAATTCTGGACCTAGCTTTAGCGGTCCCGAGTCGACAACTTACACAGTCAGCAGCTTCAGCCATGTGGTGCTTCCTCTCCCCGTGCGATACTGCTGCGGTTGGGAGCACCATTCGGCGCAAGCATCACCTCCCGTAAGATCACCCACGAATAGCACCCATTTGACCTGAGCCATGGAAGTAGGGCACCTAGTGACTTATGACTACGGTCTTCTGCCTACTGGGGCACCTAACGGGCTGTCGTATCACGATGGTCCCACAGCTACCCCGCAGCTGAAAGATCCATCCTCAGGACAGAGCAGGAAATCGCCGATGAGACGTACGGAAGGGCCGAAAGAGCCGTCTGTCCTGAAAAGGGTGGAGCTGTGCTTCGCCCGAAGAGGGGCTCCTATCCAGCACCTGAGTGGGCGGCGTGACATATCAGTGTGGTGGAAAACACCGATCATGCGTACAGTCAGCCTTGCTTTGGGTGCACGTTGATGCTGCACGTTGCAATGGCAAATCTTGAGCCCAAGTTACGGGCAATCCAAATGCGTCAGTTTGTTTACAACGGAAAACTGTCATGTACATCGCTTTCGGTTGGCCCAATTGCTTGACCCAGTTGACACCGCTAGCATCCACCATGAGGCCTATCTTTGGCTTGTAAAATGTCAGCAGATAACAGGAAGTTTGAACTCAAGTTGCAGGCAGGTGAAGTGCATCACTTTTTTCAGAACGTCGCTGTACATAACTCTTCGATTGACCCCTTTGCTAGACTCAAATTGACATCACTAGCATCTATCATGAGACCGATCTTTGGCTAGCATAGTCCGGGTCTAAATGTTTCTCAAAATACCCCAAGCCTTACTATTACTTGCATTAGACATTCAATATTTGGCAACAGCTCTCAGAAACATGGATACAACTTCCTCCGTAGCACTGTATCCCAAAAACATTATCGTGTGAGGTAGTGTGGTTTTGCCACAGGAAAGCAAGCTGAAGTAATGATGACATAGCAGTGCGCTCAGCCTACGGACAAAGGCGCGGGTTAATTACTGCAGCATCAGCTTGAACAAGCCTGATGCAAAGACAAGATCAACGTGAGGTAAATAATTAACGTATGTATAATATATAATGCATACCGTATGCATGTGTATAGCTTTTGCACCCATCGTTTCGTAACAGACAGCAACGCTTGAAGTCTCGGAGGATGAATACTTGTGTCTATGAATAAGCTGCAGATATTTTATGCAAAATTTGCGAGCCACTCTGCATATATGACTTGCACTTTGCCTCAGCTGCTCACTTTAGCAACTCTTGAGTATTAATGTACGCCCTTTCATGCAGAATAGCTTCGTCAAACTGATCTTTACCAACTAATTTAGGTCACGCTTAGAAGCTTTTGTGCATGCGTTCATAGCAGTTGTTAGAAATCAATTCGTTCTTCATTAATCTAGATGTGTGTTCATAATTATGAGCGAGACCGCGCAGGCTGAGAAAGCCGGCCTCAAATGCGCAAAAATATTTAATTTGAGCAGTCCGGTTATCACGCCACTATCTCGTAGACTGCAATGTTGATAATGTTAATAATTATGTGATAACTTAGCTTCGTCCTGCAATATTGCAAAACCACCACGGTTTTCCCTTCCTCTTTTGCTTACCATGGACATCGCTTCCTCCAAATATCCGAGTGCTTCAGAACACAGGTCAAAACCGGGTCCAGATTTAGGTGACAAGTCACAGATTGGCCCGCTTTAGGGGTGTTTGTTTATCTTCAGGGGTGTTTGTGTATGGTGTGATCAGCACCTTAAGCCGATGAAGGCGGGAGCCCATCAACACCGTGTATTTTGGTGCACTAGATTCAAAGTAGTTTAATGGATTTTTCCACAGTTGAACCTATGGAGACACAATACCTCACGTGATAGAAAAAGTCCACATGTAATTATTGGTATACTTTTAGGTGCAAAAATATGCTTTACTAACACCAAATCAATGGGAGCTTTGTTTCTCAATGCGTCATTGTTTGATTACGCAATGAAACCTTGTTATGACGTCGGAGTCGCTGCCAGAATGGCCGCTTCTGTAGCGGACGGAGTGATTCACTTGTGGTACTTCATGCTCTTCAACATGGCGTGAGTTGCCTAGGCGTCTACGTTCATGTTACTAACAGTATGTGTGCGTGTTTTGGCCCTTTATTGCAGTGTTCTTATATATCTTCCCGCGATGCCAGTTTTTTTTTCCTTTTTGCCATCTCGATTACAGCACTTTTAAGTTATTTGACTTCAGCCTCATTGTCGGTCACAGTTATAACTCACCAAATGTCTGTGCTAAGCACCACCACATCTCTGTGCTAAGCACCACCAAGCGCGATTCGTGATCGAGACGTGCTATCAACGGCTACATCTGACCGGTAACCAACTATTGTCTGCCGCGCAACGATTCCTGCTGCCGTGTTCTAGACATAAATATTCCAATGGCCATATTATGTCATCTTGAGCACTATACGGCCATTGACGGAGTTCGTGTCACGTTCGTGTGATGATAACTGAGTAACTGAGTAAGACCTGAGTAACTTCGAATCAGGCGGCGCAAATAGTATGCACAAGTTCAGGTGCGCTTGGCTCAGAAAGGGCAGGATTCACAGCCTTGAAAATGGCATAACTGTGAACTGCGGGAAGGACTGATCTTGACGATGGCCTTCTCAGTTGAAAGCCCACGGAAATGGCGAGCAGTCCCCTTAAAAGGAGTGTTCGTCAGCTGTTGGACCGGCCAGCCGGCTGACCTGGCGGCCGCCGATGTGCCGGACGCGGCAGTTGAGTATCGCCGTGCCGTTGAGCCGGGCCGTCACGTTGCGCGAGTGCTGCAGCAGCAGCTGCGGCCCCGCCGGCAGCCGCGTGCGGGACAGGCCGCCCGTCGAGCGCGACGACACGGAGCCTGCAACGGCGACGGCACGGTCAGCGGTTCCCGAATCTGGTCCTGAGCGATGCTGAACAAAACTGGGGACGGCTAACAGGCAAACATGGGGCGGGCGCGGCACGATTTCGACGTGTTCCCGTTGCGTTTATACGTATGCCGTTATATTCAGAGGACAGAATAGTTCGTTCGGTTTTTCCGTGGTCACCTTAGATAAGTGCCGAGCAAAACTAATGCATTTGATCCAAAAAGCCAACTGCACCATCAATCGGGTTGCAGTTTGTGAAATGTGGTACTGTTCGACTGTTAATCAGCTTTGGTTAGTTCGGTTATTTGTATTAGAGCCCATCCGACTAGCATTCATCACTTCAGGGCTATGGGATAAAGGGCACTGTACAACGGTGGGGCAGGACTACATGCGCCTAGGGGGCCAACCGCCGAGTGCGGTCAACGCAGGGACCCTCTGCGGCACATCGCCCGGTCGAAGTCCCTCCAGGGGGTCTCTTGCTCACTCGTGGCTGGCTTATGCAGCCTGCCCCGGACAAGCAGGGCGTTGCCAGGACGCAGGATGAAGCAATAAAGAGGATAACAGGGCCGGATATCTACCTTGGCACATAATCATGTGCATTGTTAGTATGCGTGGTTGAGATGAACAATGTGTTGCACATGTCCCGCATTCCCACGAGGAAGGGGAAATTGGCAGTTCATAGCTAAGACAAACCTGGCGACTTTTTGTGTGAGCTTGTCAATCTGGCAACGGAACCTCGGAATCTGGCAACCCTGAGCCCGAATCAAAATCGACAGCTGCATACGGTGGTGTGGAGACCAATCCAGCTCATTGCATTCACAAATCGTTCCAACAAGTGGCTTACTGTTCGAATCGGTACCATTACAATAGTGGTGTAATGCAATATCCAACCGTGACAACAACGTGACCAAATTCGCGCGTTATCAAACATCCAGTCGTTCACACAACCTCGCCAAAACAGAGTCAATAATGGAAGTAATACCATCATGCTTGAATTTTGCATGTATTGTTGCATCAGATGGGTGCAATTTGATCAGTAATACCAGCTTTCTCGAAATCCTGAACAGCTCAGAATTTCGACTCGAAGAAGCCGACCCCGCATGAGAAATTTCAGTTGACCCTCTGTTCATCACTAAAGTAATCCATTGCATTTGCCTTTATTTTTCCAACGTGTGTTGTTCTGTAATGTCCTCAACCCTATCTATCTGTTCACACACTCACCTATTATGTGCACTGGCTTACCGATGACATACAGTAGTCATATAAGGTTTTAGTTTTGCAAAGGCCTCATATGTTTTCGCGATTGTCATTCGCTTTTTTCCATAACCAGATGGCGAAAGTGCATTTGTCACTACAGCATCCTTTGGGAATGACACGTCCTGCGGTGAGTTAAGGTTAATTCTACGTTACTGCCGCTTGTTTCACATGATTCAAATGGAAAATGATGAATGCAATTTGAGTGGCTGCAAGGAATTGTCAATGAAGTGCTAAACTTCAGCCGGAACTTGACAAAGCTTTGTTCTTTCCTCGGGAATAGCCCGAGCTAAGAAAGGCAAAAAAATACTGCTGGCCAGCTAGACGCCTGTGCGGCTCTTGTCTTCAGCATTTGCCTGGTCTGTTCCGGTCTCGCCTGCCAGACAGCAATCACAGACACGCGGCGAGACGGTGTTCCAACGTCTTGCCTTGTGTGTAGCCTGCGCGGAGAGAAAACTGGCAATGTAGAGAACTGCCTGTAGTGAGGTTGTTACATGACACCACTTGTCAGATGACAACGGTTGTTACAAGATACTATGCTGACACCAGTATAAAATAGCACCAGTCGTCAAATGACACTAACCGCCCCATGGCGGCAGCCGTGACATGACACCGTCACGTGACGACTGACGCCATTTGGCGACTGGTGTCATCTTATTGCCTGTGCCATGATGGTCATTTCATGACGCCAAGGATGGCGTCATGGAATGACCATCATGGCACAGGTAATTAGATGACACCAGTCGCCAAATGACGTCAGTCGTCACGTGACGGCGTCGTGACATGACTCCGATCGTCACATAACACCAGTCGTGACATGACACCAGTCGTCATGTGACACCAGTGGTCACACGAGCGAGCAGCTGGAGACCACCGAAGATGTAATCAGTGCCACCGACCAGAATACACCGCTGAACGCCCGGGGCTGGCAGGCCTATTGGGACGCCCACAGACAGGCAATCAGCGAGAATTGCTCGGCTGGAATGTAGCTAACACATGTATAGATTGAAATAAGTGCTGTTGATGAACCTCGCATAGGGTGTTACTCTTGATATTCATATCTATGCCGGTAACAGTGTCGCATTTCGATGATGCATCTTGGAATTAAGCGGAGTGCGCCAGCTTTTGTACGTTTCACTTATGGTTCCGTCAGAAGGGTGCGATTTGATCACCACTACCAGTTTTCTCGAAATTCTGCTGCATCTGAAAATTTTAGTTTGAAGTAGCAGCTCCTGCGGGAGATATATCACTAAACCCCTGTTGACCGCGATGAAAGCAAGCATTCGATTTCCCTGCTTTTTTCACGCGTGTTTTGTCATGTTTGCAACTCACTAGTTTGTCATAATTGTTGTATAATAAATGCTACGAAAGCTTGAAACACTTTGTTTAGACAAAACTACACGCACACGCGAAGCTATCATCCCGTGAACTCAAAGGAGCTTTATGCTATGACTTTTATTTCTCCCCTGTGGGTTTAACACGCACCCGGGTGGCCGGCTAGATACCTTTCGCTCGGGTGGGGAGGGTCAATTTACCCCCCCCCCCTCTGAGATCTCGAGAACTAAGAAAGCTTGACACCAAATTTTCAGGAAGTCTTGACCTGTACGTGAACGCACTTCGGTCAAAGTTTGAGCTTTCCAGGTCATGACCTTCAAAACAAATAAGGTCAAACAAGGTCAAGTTACAGGCTGGTCTCAAAGGTGTCCCCAGAACCTAGGTAACTGTTTCTAAGCAAAATTTCATAAGCCCATTTGAGGTCAGTGACCTTGTTTGACCTTCAGAAGGTAATGGTGACCAAAATCATACAAGACTGCTCTGAGTTTTTCATTTAAATAAGCGACCAAGATTGCGCTAGGCAGTATGTTCCTGAAACAAAATATCGGCCCGGGTCATCTTAGGTCAATGACCTCTTCTGACCTCTAAAAAGTCAATGCAGGATGTATAATGCGGTTCCTGCTGTCAACAAATTCGAAATGAGCACCTCAAACTATCTCATACAGCACGCCCTAGGGTAATAAATCAGGTTGGTTTTGACCTTGGTCTGACCTTCATACTTGACCTTAGGTCAACGTAATTTGCTCATTCAACATTTCTGGTGCCTAAGAAAGCATCTCAGAGATGTATGGCTTCGTCAAACACTCCGTTATTGTACCAGATTGGACGATTCCCTAGGCATAGCCTTCGCTGAAACCATGGCCCCACTTTGACCCGTCATAGGTCAGCGACCTTACAAGGTATATTTAAATGTGTTATGTTAAACGATCCGCTATTGAATTGCCTACAGCTGTGCCAAATTTGGAGCGGCTACGCCGCGCCGTTCGGAAACCATTTTGGAAAAACTTTCGGGGGGATTAATTTGACCCCCACCCGAGCGCGTGTTACCACAGTGACTCTTTTCCAGGCGCTCTTTGGATTTGGGCATGGGAATACTACGTGGTCGATAGCGACGCAATGGTCCAAACTCCCAACAGTGCGGTTTTCCGGAGCAGGTCCTTGCCGCCCTCTGGGCCAATCACAAACTTTCTTTTATTCACACCAGTACAACTACCATGGCGGCTGTTATGAAGGCGTTGGTCGCGACTGCAGGGAAAATCGTAGTGCTGATGCAAAGTGTTGGCAGCGTAATTTGGACCACAAAAATGACTAAAAATGATATCCTCTTAATGTCTTCGCGGCACTGCAGTGGCACTATTCAGTGCTTTTTTCAGACGTAACTAGTGCTGAGGTTTCAATAGAGTAAGCCTTTGAAATACATCCCAAAGGTCGGACACTCCCTTTAATCCAAATAAAAAATACCAACACATGCCACCCAAAGCAGGCAGCCAGTAATTACACAACGGGACCATCTAAATCCCCTTAGCCTGGTGCGGAACTCATTGGCGCGAGAGGCGGCGATGGTCCGCAGCAGGCGGCTCCAAGATGAGGTCGCGCGATACAAAATACCCCCACGTGCCACCGACAAGAGAAAAGCTGGCAGATCGAGGGCGCTCGCCGCTATCACCCGGGTGGCACGCTGGCATACAGCGGTACGCGGAGTGAACAGGGACCGGATCGCCACCGGAGCGTGCGAGTCATGAAGAGCTCTGAATACAGCAAGGCCGCACGGTGGGTGACAAGGTCACCTACAGTGCGCCATCCCAGCGCTTGAACAGTTGCCGCCATTGCGAGGCGCCGGCGAGCGTTGGTGACGATCTTGGCCACCCAAAGTTGGCCACAATTTCACTCTGTTTAGGTGACATGTTGCAGCCCGGCCCCATGATTTTTCATATATTTTGGATAATACAGGCGAAATTGATGTACTTCCGAAATTACCTCCGATGTCACGAGGGCCAGATTTGTGAAGAGAAATGACAGAGGCAACCCTCCAGAAATCGAGGAAAACACAAGAGGCAACAGAGAATTGATGATGTGAGGCCAATGTGGTTCGATAACAGGAAGGAAACATTTATGTAAGGCATGCAGTGGCACTTCGTCACGTCCCACCGCCGTGGACAATGGCACTTCGCTCATAACCCTCGAAAGTTCGTGCTTAGTCGTGGGACGCAGTTTTGCGACTGGCAGTGATCACGCAAGGTGGCCATGGTGGAAGAGGGGGACCGCCAAGACCCCCCCCCCCCCCCTGTCAGTTCGGTAGCGATGCGCGAGCCGGTGGAAGCAAAGTATCGATCAAAGTCGTCGGCCTCTTCTACGAGCAAGTCCTAAGTGGCACCCTAGCCTCCCTTCGCTGGCTGGAAAGCGA